AAAGGAAATCATTCCTGAATATTCATTGGAAGGACTGATGCTGAAGCTGAAACTCCAAAGCTTTGGCCACCTGATGTGAAGAATTGACTCATTTGAAAAGACCCTGATGCTGGAAAAGATTGAAGGTGGGAGGAGAAGGGGATGACAGAGGATGAGATGGTTGGATGTCATCACCGACTCAATGGACATGAATTTGAGTAAACTCTGGGAGCTGGTGATGGACAGGGAGGCCTGGCGTGCTGCAGTCCATGGGGTTGCAAAGCCTCAGACACAACTGAGTGACTGAACTGAATTGATGCCTCAACTTCTCCATCTATAAAATGGGGATACTGATAGAAACACTTCATGGGGCCATTCTGAGAATGATATAAGTTCATACACATGAAACATTCAGAGCCATACCTGGCATATATTCAGTGCTTCCCTCATTACCAAACTTTTAGACAGGAAGGTCAATTGGCTGAAAATGTCAGTCTGGGGCTGAGGAAGTCAGGCAAGACTAGAGATACAGAGTTTATTCTTACTCTTCCTTATGCAATCATCTGTCCTTAGAAGCTTGTAGCTAAGCTACATATGCAAGGGTGACAAGCATTATCTACTTTGTATTGCCACAGACACGGATGCCAAGATACAGCATCATGCCTACACGTCAGCCCCAGCTGTAAGCTGGCCAGCCGAGAACCACCTGTTCTGTAAATGGCGCCAACAAGGACAGTGTAGAAAGCAGTAGGCCCTGGGATCAGGTCCCTCATCTGCTGCCAGCCACTTCTATGGCCTTCTCTCACCTCTTATACTAAGAATTCAGCTACTCATGCTCAGACGTGTTCTCCAGTCTTTAATTTTGATGGTTCTAAAATCAAAAATGTGCGTATCCTGAAGGAATGAGAAGGCTTTGCTTCTACCATCCCCATGCTCCGATAACCTGGGTAGAGAACACAGTTCTTAATCGGAGCAGTGGGATAGCAATAAAATAAACTGAGCACTGACAGAACGGGGCTGCTGGGTTGGTATCTTCCAGTTGGGGGTCAAGGTTCCAAAATGAGATAGAACAAAATGCTAGTGTCCACTCACATTTAGCTGGAGGTTAAAAACAACAAATAAACAAAAAGAAGGGCCACCCGCTTGGTCCATATCATTGAAAGTGATAGCCGCCTAATCTCAGCGGTCCTTTGTGCCATGTAGACACACACCTGAAGCAGGGTATGGTGGCGGAATGACCAAGTCAGATGAACACCCGCTTCACTTCCAAATGCCCAAGGAACAAAACAGAAGTTGATCCACAGTTCCTAAAACAGAGTCCTCTCTGACGAAGGTTAAAGTATACACAGAGGATGAATTGCAGATATAAGCTCATGGCATCCGGTCCCATCATTTCATGGCAAATAAATGGGGAAAATGTGGAAACAGTGACAGATTTTATTTTCTTGGGTTCCAAAATCACTGTGGATGGTGACTGCAGTTACAAAATTAAAAGATGCTTGCTCCTTGAAAGAAAAGCTATGACAAACCTAGACATCATATTCAAAAACAAAGACATCACTTACCAACAAAGGTCCACAGAGTCAAAGCTATGGTTTTTCCAATAGTCACGTGTAGATATGAGAGTTGGACCATAAAGAAGGCTGAGCACCAAAGAATTGATGCTTTCCAACTGTGGTACTGGAGAAGACTCTTGAGAGTCCCTTGGACAGCAAGGAGATCAAACCAGTCAATCCTAAAGTATTATCAACCCTGAATATGCATTGGAAGGACTAATGCTGAAGCTGAAACTCCAATCCTTTGGCCACCTTAATATGAAGAGATGACTCATTAGAAAAGACCCTGATTCTGGGAAAGATTGAATGCAGAAGGAGAAGGGGAGGATGAGATGGTTAGATGGCATCACTAACTCAATGGACATGAGTTTGAGCAAGCTCCAGGAGACAGTAAGGACAGAAACCTAGCATGCTACAGTCCATGGGATTGCAAAGAGTCAGACATGACTGAATGACCGAACAGCAACATCAGAGGTGATAGAGACTATTAAATAAATGAAAATTCAGTGTTTCAGTGAGATTAGGTTATTAAGGCAAATCCTTACAACTGGCAGTGGTTGTATTGGGAGTTGAATTCTTGTGTTTGAATTCAGCCCTGGTCTCTTTCCCTTGTAGTTTGTGAGAAATCAACCTAGAGTAAAAAGGAAGGAAATGTGGCCACCAGTTTCCTGATAGTTTTCTTATCACTGCTGCTTACTTAAATGCAAAAGGGGTACAAATTCCAGTGAACTGAGGGTTTCAGTTAGTTGGTCTTCAGTTAACCCAGATTTCATGAAAAATTTCAGTTTCTCATTTCTTCATGAAGTTTAGGGAGCATAAAAGAAATGGCAGCTTTAAAAATGGGCAATCTCCCCCCTGTTTTATTGAGATATTATTGACAAATAATATTACATTAGCTTTAAGTATACAACACGATGACTTGACATATATGAATACTTTTTTTTTTTTTGGTACTAAGTACTCACAATACACAGCTTCCTGGGTAGCTCAACTGGTAAAGAATCTGCCTGCAATGCAGAAGATCCCAGTTCAATTCCTGGCTCAGAAAGTTCCCCTGGAGAAGGGATAGGCTGCCCACTCCAGCATTCTTGGGCTTCCCTGGTAGCTCAGATGGTGAAGAATCTGCCTGCAATGTGGGAGCCCTGGGTTCTACCCCTGGGTTGGGAAGATCCCCTGGAGAAGGGCAAGGAAACCCACTCCAGTATTGTTGCCTGGAGAATCCCCAAGGACAGAGGAGCCTGGTGGGCTACGGTCCATAGGGTCACAAAGAGTTGGACACAACTCAGTGACTAAGCACAGCTCAGCACTCACAGTCCAGTGTACACTTTATACCTACGGCACATCTTAACTCAGACTCGCCACGTTTCAAGTGGCCAGTAGACAACTAAGCTACTAGGCAACATGGCTCTGAAGCATCCTTGTGTCTAATGGAGACAGACAGGTCATGTCTTCAGAAGGGCAGCCCAACCAGGATTTCATCCAATGTTGACCCAAGTCAGGCCCCCAATTCTCTTATTGAGAAGCACAGTAAAGTAGAAGGTTTGCATTTAGGGTCCAAGATGAAAAATCATCCTAAAGGATCAGAATCACTTGTTGAGCAAGATGTTCTCACTTCCAAGATGCATCTCTGGACAGAAAGGAGAAGGACAGTGTCTCCTTGGCCATCTAAGACCCTCTGTAGATCCTTGAGACTTGATCATTAGTTTCCTCAGCATATGTAGTTGAAATTGTAAGTTAAATGCACATATATATAGGAAATCAATCCTGAATACTCATTGGAAGGACTGATGCCAAAGCTGAAGCTCCAATACTTAGACCACCTGATGCAAAGAGTCAACTCGTTAGTAAAGACCCTGATAGTAGGAAGATTGAAGGCAGGAGAAGAAGAGGACCACAGAGAATGAAATGGTTGGATGTCCTCACTGACTCAATGGACAATAGTTTGAGCAAGCTCTGGGAGATAGTAAAAGACAGGGAAGCCTAGCATGCTGCAGTCCATGGGGTTGCAGAGTCGGACATGACTGAGTGACTGAACAATGATATGCTTTCACTAGGTATGCGGACAAAATTTCAGCTCAGAGGACATCTCTTGAACTCCTACTCTTCAGCAGAATCTAGAAAATACAAAGTTGTCTGCCTGACTTCTAATCTTAACCTAGTTACTTAGAAGTTCTATAAACATCAACAGATTACTCAGTTTCTTAAACCTCAGGGTCCTCATCTGCAAAACAAAAAATAATAAAAGTCCTCCATTCATAAGACTTTCTTTGAAAATTAAATAAGGTAATAATCCTAACAAAGCACATGGTAGAAAACACAATTCACTTTCCCATTTTTCATAGTGTTGGCATTGGGTTGTAGGGTATGTATTTGGTGATAAAGACAATGCTCAGTAGAGTTAGCTCGATTTAGGAATATTAAGGAGATGCAGAACCCCTCAACCAACCAGCAACAACAATTTCTGAAACAGCTGTGGCAGACAATCAGCTTTTTAGCTTATATCATTCTCCTTAAGCCTTTCATTTAAAAGTGGAGGAGGTGGAAATTTCCTGAGGTTCCAGTGGTATAATACTCTGTGCTTCCACTGCAGGGGGCATGACTTTGATCCCGGGCTGGGGAATTAAGATCCTGAATGCGATGTGGCATGGCCAAAAACTTTTTTTTAACTAAAAATTAAAAAAGAAAAATAAAAGTAGAGGAGGGAAGTCAATGAGAAATGAACCTCTAAGTTTGAACGTGCTTCATTCACATTTCTCCTGCCTGGAGTAACCCCAAGAATTGGTCGTGTTTGTACAGTGGGATCAGGGCTCCGGAAACTGGGGAGGAGGCCAACCTGGGTTCCATGTTTGTTCAGAGACCACAACTAGCCCCCAGAATACCTGGACATTTTGACTCTAGAAAACTGGCAAAAGAGGTTTTGTTTCCCTACAGACATGGCTCAAGAAAGTTCCCAACAGCCTAGAGGTTATGGTGACTTTGGATGGCTTTATAATATGTTGTCAAAGTGCTTCCATCCAAGAAAGGTGAAAGCTTAAAGAGTAATTCCTCACCAAAAAAAAGAAAAACAAACTTCTTTTTTTGTTTTTTTTTTCAACAAAGAAGAGAGTTAACCTGAGGCAAAGGCATTTTATGAAACATTTGCAAATAAAAGCATAAAACAAATCCAGGCCTGTAGCATCTTGCCAATGGCTCACTGCGCAGTGGAGGGGGAGGCTGACGTGACACAGCCTCGTGTCTGTGTGTCCTGAACCTCTGAAGCACTTCATTCTGCACATGCGGAGCTTGCTTCAATTTCTTATTCCAGCACTCTCTTTAAGAACAGTCTCAAGAAATACAGTGCCAAATGAAAGCAAACATTTTATTGGAAAAAAGACACTGGATCTACACTGTGAACAGCAGAACAGGAAACTTCACACCTGGCATTAAGAGTGACCTCTCCAAGTCATCATCTGTCCACCTGAATACCTTTGGCTGTCGGGGGCTGTCCTGTGCTATGTGGGATGTTTAACAGCATCTCTGGTCTCGAGCCGGGGCGTCCCTGATGGTTCAGACAGTAAAGAATCCACCTGCAATGCAGGAGACCCGGGTTTGATCCCTGGGTGGGGAAGATCCCCTAGAGAAGGAAACAGCAACCCACTCCAGTATTCTTGCCTAGAAAACCCCACAGATGGAGAATCCCGTGACGGGCTATAGTCCATGGGGTCGCAAAGAGTCAGACCTGACTGAGAAACTAACACTTTCACTTTCACCAGTCTCTAGCCACTACATGTCAGAAGCACACTCCCCTGCAGTTATAACAACCAAGAATCTCTCCAGACATTGCCTTCTGGCCCCTGGGGACACAGTCTTCCCTAACTGAGAAGCACTGGTCTAGAGTGAGAATACTCTGACATTCTGACTTCTAGACTGGAATGGTCAAGAAGAACCTTCTGCTTTCAGAGCCAGATGGGGAGAATCACTTATCTAAACCCCAGTTCTCCACTACATCTTTCTTTCCCCCACTTCCAACAAAAGGACAGTTCAGTTTAGTAAAGCAATGAAGAATATAAAATGCAGCCTGGCAATGGGGTTTCTAAGCCACATTTGGCCTTCCTAGCTTCAAAGATCATGAAACCTCTCATTTGTACTCCACAAAGCAGCAATTTCTCACAAGGATACGTTCCTTTGACTCTCTTTTAAAAGTCGAGTACAGCTTGGCAACCACAGAGTACAGAAAATATAGGCTTTCGGCAAGAAGCAATTATTCAAAACCCAAAGACTTAAAAAAAAAAAAAAAAACCTGTCAAATTGTGTCAGTTACAACACATAAGACAACTGAATTCCTTCACTTATAAGCAACAGAATGGTCTGGGTTTGTTTTTTCTTGCTGACTTCGATTATTTCTTCGAGTTATAACCCAAGCTGTCTCAAACTGTTGACACTGGGTTACTGACCTTTTCATCTAAGAACAAGAAGGTCCAGGTTTAGTATTTAGCTTTTTGCTTTAAATGTTCACCAATCATTATATCCATAATTAGACCTTGTGCTGGAATGTACCAAAATTTGCCTCCTGGGTCACTCACAGAGCCTGGAGAAGCCACAAGAAAACTGAACACTTCAGCAATGGTAAGATTTTTCTGGGTTGGCACAGGAAAACTCAGTTTGTGGAATATAAATCAGCAACCCTACACCCTAATTTCCACCCTTCACATGTAGTGTGATTATACAAGCAAGCGGTACGGGCGTCAAGTCAAAAACTGAGGTTTGTTTGCCAGAAGGAAGCCAAACCTTCAATTCTGTCGTTAATGCCACCTAGGGATATAATTACACAAATATCATCTTTCTACTAAAGAAGAGGAAAAGGGATCTTCATGGACAGACGTTCATGTGAATTAACCATCTTGGGTTTAATGCTGAGGTTAACATCAAATTCCTAAGGTATTCATATTCAGATGTTTATAAGTGAAAAACGAAGCATCTGACAGAAATAACATTAACATACTTAGAGTATATCTTCTTAAACTTATAGAATGGCCATTTCAGAACATTCCCCAAACACTGTCTCCCATGTTGTTAAAGGGATTTTGTGTAAAATAAACCAATTTTACTACACCCTTCACAAACACATAGGAATTCAGGGAGATTTCGAACATTTGGTGAACTGTTGGTTTCCGTCGTTAAGTGTCAAGGAATCAACATTAGTGTATTAACCGAAGGCAAGCACAGAGACTGTTTTTAGTAGAAGGCCTAAACAGGATATTCATTGAGAAAAAAAACTTGGGGAGGGGGTGGGAGTGATATTTGTTTTTCAATTCCTGAAAAGTGAATTGAAAACGAAGTCATTCAGTCATGTCCAACTCTTTGCGACTCTCTGAACTTTAGCCCACCTGACTCCTCTGTCCATGGGATTTTTCAGGCAAGAACACTGGAGCAGGTTGCCACTTCCTTCCGCAGGGGATCTTCCTCATCCAGGGATTGAACCAGGTCTTCTGCATGGCACGCAGACTCTTTACTGTCTTACCTGCCAGGGAATTACACATTTAAAATTAGGAAGTTTTATACAGGGATCAAATCAACTCTTCCAGATCATTAGTATCCTACAACTTCACTATTTTACATATAAATATGAAAAACTTAAAAACTTAAAAACTGAACAGAAGGTTGTTCTGAATGAACAGTTATTATGGATAATCAGCCTCATTAAAACTTCCATGGTCTCAGGCCCTCCTCTATCACTTCACTTTCTTACCCTCAGCCTGGATCATTCCCTCCCACTGAACTGACAGTAACAGGTCTCCCCTTCACCTCGTCCAGCTCCATATATTGGCCAGTTTCCTAAAAGCAAATGGGCAGTTTCTTTAAAAGACAACATGGACTTACCAATGGACTCAGCAATTCTACCTCTAGATATGTATCCAAGAAAAACAAAAGCATAGGTTCACCCAAGACTTGGACCTGAATATTTATAGCAACATGATTCATACTAGTCAAAAAGCAAAAGCAGTCCATCAGCTGATGGGTAGATAAATAAAATGTGGCTTATCTATATAGTGGAGTACTATTTATAGATCAAAAGGAACAAAGATCTTATACGTGTTACAACATGGGCGAGTCTCAGAAACACTAAGCTAAATGAAAGAGGCCAGTCATAAAAGGCCACCTCCTGTATGATTCCATTTATATAAGATGTGAAAAAAAGACATGGGTTTCAGTATAAATAGTTTTCCCACAATACAAGTAATTCATTCCTTGTACTTAAGTTTCATGCCATGCCTAACACCAATTTTTAAATTGACTGCTTTAAACACATTACTTCCTTGTACCAAGATGTATGAGCACTTAATCACTTGGTTGTGTCCAACTCTTTGCAACCTCATGGACTGCAGCCTGCCAGGCTCCTCTGGCCATGGAATTTTTCAGGCAAGAATACCAGAGTGGGTTGCCATTTCCTCCTCCAGGGTATACTAAAATGAGACCTACACCAAAGAAAGTAGAACTAACACTGATGTTTAACATGAAGCTCCAAAGACTGCAACAAAAAGTAAACTCTTTTCACAGAGATAGTAGCACCATTAACTTCTGTCTTGTAAAATGTTTGCTCCAAATTCTAACTACTGCTCCTTACACTTCTCAACCTGGGGCTCGTCTTCAATTATATTAGAAGCAATGAGACTTGAGGCATTTCCAAGACTCCTTGAATTATCAAAGAACCAAAAATAAATCCCAAATTGCTTTTAAGTGTGAAATGTAGTTTTTTTCCACTCTCAGTTAAAAAATGGCTGCAGAGACTGTACTCAGATTTTCCAAGCTATAAATCTCTCTTGAGCTAGGACAAGGTATGGACATTTTTAGCCTCAAAGGCTATTTTTGTCAGAAAGATATGACTGAAGGAATCAGGAAGTTGGGATGGCCGTCTGCGTGTTGCCTTGTTTATAAAGGTCATTGGTGGAAACCAGAGGTGGTAGTGTAAGGTCATTACCAAAGAAACAGGGAAGAAACAAACAACAACAAAACAAAAACAAAAACCTAGAAAAATGCACACAGTCCAATTAAATCGAACAAAAGCAGTACGCATTGAGTGCTATAAAATGTTCATGTCCTTTGGCTCCGGGATCTTGTTTTTAGGAATTTATCCTAAAGAAAATAAAAGCAAACCATAGCAATATGATTTGTAACAGGAAAAGACTTGAGGCAACTTCAATAAGCAACAATAAGGGTTGGTTAATTAAATTATTCTACATCACTTTGATGTAATGTTATGGCTCCAAAAAGACTAGCTACAAAAGACATGGAAATGTACATATGATAAAATGTTAATGGGGAAAGGATAAAAATATATGGACTCTATAATAATCATGCAAGCAAATGTATGTATCTGAAAAAGGACTAAAAGGGAACACACAAAAATATAAATCATTATGCTGTTATGGTGGGCTCACTTATTTTTTTCCCCATATTCCCAAGTTGCTGAAATGTTATCATATAAAAAAGATGAGAAAAATTAAGTCCATCATACAAATATTATGGTAAATAATTTCATTAACCAACTTGCACCTCCAGCTACACTTTTACTTGTCCTATTTATGCTAGAATAATGGCCACCAGTGGAGAAGGAAATAGCAAAAAGCCCACTCCAGTGTTCTTGCCTGGGAAATCTCAAGGACAGAGGAGACTGGTGGACTATAGTCCATGGAGTTACAAAGAGTTGGACACAACTTAGCAACTAAACAATGACAGCAAATGTCCACCAGACTCAAGAAGCATGAGAAGGAAACACAGTGTTTCAGCTGACAGTCAAAATGTGTTTGCATTATAAACTTAGTGATGAGGAAAATTTTATGGGAAAGAAGTAACAGAAGAGATTCCTCCTGCTTTCTGAACTCCATACATGTACAGCTAAATTTGTCTCATTAGATTTCCATTCTACCTCTTGGGAGGTAATTGTGTGTGAGATAGATCAGCCTCTTTCCTTGCCTACTGAACCTCGTTTTGTAACATTCATCCAGCAAGCTGACAGGACCTCAGGGAGCATCATTAAATATTCCCTGGGAATGATACAGAGAGGGGAGTAAGCAAGGACTCCGGAGATAGACCTAGGAGTCCACCATTCAGAATCCTGATTCTTCCATCCTACACACAAGGAGTCCGTCTGTGATGGTTAATCTGATGGGTCAACTTGTCTAGAGCAGGGTACCCAGATATTTGGTCAAACATCACTCTAGACCTTTCTGTGAAGATATTTTTCAGATGACATTAACATTGAAACCAGGCTTACCCGATGGCTCAGCGGGTAAGGAATCTGCCTGCAATGCAAGAGACACAGGAGATATAGGTTTGATCCTGGGTCAGGAAGATACCCTGGGCGAGGAAAACAGCAATCCACTCCAGTATTCTTGTCTAAAAAATCCCATGGACAGAGAAGCCTGGTGGGCTATAGTTCAACGGGTCACAAAGAGTCAGACAAAACTGAGTGACTAACCACAACAAACACACAAGACTGAAACCAGCAGACGTTGAATAAAACAGATTACCCCC